TTCGGATCCGGGGGGAAACCCAGCCGGCCCTGCCTGCTGCTGCTTCCACAGCCCCCGGCTCGGCTCGTCCACGCTTCGTCCCGCTCAGTCGAAGTTGTAATAAAGGCAAAAGGCAAAAAACATGGCGAAGATCTGAAATGACAGGAGCAGGGGGAAGGGGTGAGCCCCCCGACGCAGAAGCGTGCTCACATGTTGCTGCAGCTGCTGCTCTGATCAGACCCTGAAGGCTGAAAAACATTTGACCTCTGCACCCCCTGAGGCCTGGGGGGAGCAAAATAACCCCTCCCCGTGCCTCCAGCCCAGCTCATCCCCAGCAGGAGGTTGGTTTTACACCTCAGGACATTCCCACTGTGCTCACACCCGTTTTCCAGGTGTGACTGGGCCAAGTAGAGCCTTGGGAAGGACCAGCCCGAGCCCATTTGTGGTCTCTTCACCCACAGAGCACCCTCCCAGCAAGGGGAGAGTCCGTGCAGAGTGACCTCCTGCATTCCTGTCCCCTGAGCGGGGAGCTCAGGGAGTTGTGGGGGACACCGGGATGGGGCTGGACGAGCTGGAGGTTTGGGCTGCAGACCCCTGGAGCGGGGCAGCATCCATAGGCTCCCTTCCCTGTCCCCTCACCTCTTCCCTGGCCCCTCTGGCCCCTCTCAGTACCTCAATGCCCAGCACGGCCAAGCTGCAAGTCCCTGGGAGAGAAATGTACTTCTGCAACGTCCTGCCAAAGGTAGAGAAGCAGCCCTGGGAAGGGGGAGAAACGATGGAGGGGCTGCCTTGTGCTCCCCACGGCTGCGGGGAGCTCAGGGAGTTGTGGGGGACACCACAGTGGGGGCTGGACGAGCTGGAGGTTTGGGCTGCAGACCCTGGGGGGGATCCAGCACCCCACCCTGGGGCACAGGGTGCTGCTGCCTCACGGCCCTGAGCCTGCAGAGCTGGGGACGGGGCACAGACACGGCAGAACCGTGTTCTACCTGCTCATGGATGTAGCCGGGGCTCCTCTGGCGGCACTGCTCCCAGCCCAGCAGCTCGCCCACCTGCAGGAGCCCATCCCGGGCGCAGCACGCCCGCGGCCAGGGTGTCCCCGGGTGCAGCTCCTGGAAGCGGGAGCCATTCCCAAAGTCTTCGGGTCCTAAAACGCCACAACACGAGAACTGGAATGTAAGGGAAACGTCTGTCAAAATAGGAAGGGGGGCATCGCCCAGGGAGGGGGAACAGCCCAGCACGTCTGGCTGGGATCCACGAGTCCCTTGGGGGTCAACCTCGGCAGATCCTGTGGGTGCCCCACACCCCACCAAAACCACCCGGGCTGCTCACCGTGACCATGAGGGTGTTCCAGGCGGCGGAGAAGACCTCAGCACCTTCGTCCCCGCTGTAGTTCCTCCGTAACTCGGAGAGGAAGACCTCTGGCTGG